AGCTGCACTTTGCTTTGTAAGTAGATGACCTTTACCTCTGAACCCTATGATACGTACTTCATAATAACTGGTTGGATCTTTTGACAAATTATTAAATTGTCAGGATGCTGTTTGCAGCACAGTCCATTTTTAGAAAGCAGATAGTCAGCTGTTTGGCATTATGTTGGGTAGAAGAGTACCAGACAAAGGCAGATTGCTTTGTAAGCTATAAAATGTCAGTCAGTAAATACTCAAAGGCCTGGTTTAAGTGAAGAAAGAGTAAATACTATGGCAATTTTTATCCGTGCATTGGATAATTTACCGTAAGCAGGAAAGAAACTGTAGCAGCAAGCATGCCACAAGAATACAGGTCTGCGATTTGCTTGCTGTGATGTATAATGCCCTGATGTATCCCATATTATTGAGCAGATGAGACTTTCATATGTAGTGGTGTGCTGTTTGCTTAATAAGCAGATTATTTGGCTTACATTTCTTCTTTATTATTTGGACGTGCATTTGTTCTCTATGGCAAAAACCAAAATATTGTCTTTGTGCTGTAACAAGCAAATTTGGTTTGTGTAAAGAGAGGATGGATCATAGTCCTGTGTGCATGTAATCTGTAGATCTACGTTTTGCAAATGTCTGTGTAGAAAACCTTTTTCATTGCCTGGGGTGGCAAGCAAAGAGGATCTAAACACATAAAATGTGTGAGAGCTTGTGTCTCTGCCTGCCAGGCTGCAGGACTTGCTTTCCAAAGGTGTTAATTCTGTAGTTCTTTGTGAATAGGCAACAGCTGGAATCTAGCAGTTGAGTTATTAAAATTACAGACTAATAAATGTCCTATGGCATTTGTTTGTATTAAACATCTCAAAATTTCTAGCTTCCCTGTCCACGAACTACAGCAGCAGCTCCTGTTTCCTATCTCACTGCTGCCATCACTTACCTCCCAATGCTGTTGTCTACCACTGCCTCCTTTGCTTGATTTCCCTTGATTGCACCTCCAGCCCTCCCCTCCATCCACACCCCAGCTCCTAAGACAACAGCAGTTTGTACCGATATTTTGAAAACTCATCTTCAGCTGAAAACTTGAGGCTTATATTTATTCTCTGTCTTGTTTGAGCTCATCCAGTCCATTGCTGTTCCAAACAGAAGTGATAATTTTTTATTGTTGCTATATATTTTCCTAGGGATGTACGATTAAACAGTAACTCTTCATGTGGCATGCTGTTTTGTGTTACTCTCGAATATCTGTTAATCTTGGCTGTGACTGTAAATGTTGGTTTTATGCCAAAAACAATAAATATCTATAGTGATCACTTGTAACCATGGCAGTAAGGTTAGGTTTTTGTGATCTTGCCTGGCTGAAGGGAGAGTTGGTGACACAGGTGCCAAAGACCAGAACAAATGCCACAGGTAGGCACATCTTTACACTCAGGCAAAAAAAGAACAGGCCAAGGAGAACAGGGTGAGTTTTTTCTTAATTTTTATTTTGTGAAAGAAAAACTAATCCAACAGTGCTGCAGTAGGGAAGGGTGACTCTTCAGTTCGAAACTGAAGTCTCAGCCTTTTTCCTCTGTAAAACTCCTCCAGACCTCTACAAATAATGTGCTATGTTGAAAAAAAGTGATGCTGCTGTGCGTAATGCATCAGTAAAGTGTGTTTCCTTTGAAACTTTTCACTGTCTGAGAATAGACACCTTTTATTTCAGTGTTTTGAAGGTGGTATTTGGTAGTGGGATGAAATGGAATTGAATTACTTCACCGTATTGATACTACCAAAGCTGCAATCGTTGCCCTCTTGTTCAGAGGATTGAAAATTCCTGTAGATAGTTTAAAGACTCGGATTACATGTAATTAGTGTTAATGCTAATTGCATTATAGGCTCCATTAAATCCAAGCACTAGTCTATTCTTTTTAGTGAATGCACTCTAAAATAGAGTTTTGGAGGAGGTTAATCTCCTGGTAGTGGAAGATAGAGAGAGATGTATTCAGTAATCCAAGAGAATTATATCAACTTGTTTATAAAACCAAAAAGTGTCCTGCACTGTCCTCTTGTCTCGTGCCTTTCAGTGTGACTTTTTTCTTAATGGTCCAGTGGACAAGCATAAGCAGTTAAGACAACTCACGAAATAATTAGTAGTGAACCATTAGAAGATTGCAATGTACTATGAAGAAGTGTGGGTGGGGACCCTTGAAGTCAAACTTTATTTTATTTTAGCTGTATTACCGTGTTGTGGTACATGCAGGAGATTCTGGAAGCGTTTTCTAAGTGCTACTGTAGCAGGACTAGACAAAGGACTAGAAAGATTTACCAGAGCAAATCAAAAAGGAGAAAATATAAACTGTATTGCAGAGAATGCAAGACAGTGATTTTTGTGGCTGCTGTTGAAATACAAGTACTGTGAATGCTGACTGCCAAAATACGGGATTTGTGGGAAGTAAAGCCCTAAAATATTTTTCCCCCTACCAAAAAGACAGGGAGGTGATAGGAGGAACCCCTCCAGAAATGGTGGATTTTTGTTACGTGTCTAGCTTTTCGAAGTTTTAAATGGCTTTCTGATTTGATAAACATTTCAATATGAAGACAGAAAGGAAGACTAAGAAATAAATTAGGCTGCTTATTTTGAGAGATGCATTCAGTGGATAGCAGTTCCAAAACACATAGCGAAGTTCTTCGTTCAGTAACAGTTTCCAGGTGTTGTTATGTAAGGAATAATAAATAAATCGCATTATGTATTTCAATAAAATGCAGATAATTGCACTGCAGTTAAATCAGTAAAGCATGTTTTGAGATTAATTTTTTTTTGAAGCCACAGTGTTGAGTGTCCTTTGGCTTCAGTGTTGGATCTGTTGCACTTGCTGATACGAAACAGGGAGTTCTGGGTGCTGCAGTGGTTCAGATTCACTTTCCATCTTTATTACAGGCAATATCAGACTGTTGTCTTCTACTGCCTTGGTCTGAGAATTTAATTAAGCATGTGCTTAGAGTTGAGCATAGACTGAAGCAGGATTTTTTTTATTTTTTTATTTTCATTTCTCCTCACCAGTTCTTTCTCAGGTCATTTATTTTTTTTGCAGTTTCTTACTCAGGTAGAGTATCATGAAAAAGCATGATGTTCACGAACCGTGAACAGTAACGAAATAGCTGCAAAGTGTCATTCCAAGCTCACTCTGGATTTTGTGTGTAATAAACAAACTTAAATCACGATTCAGTCATGAGCAGAAAAGATTGGACGTTCATTTAATATAGTTGACATCAGCCAGTTTTAACATTTCACATCATCCACATCAGTTTTCGCAGCCTTGTCCAGTAAGTCCAGATGAAAATATGTATTTGCTGCTGTCTTTATTGGATTGCATGGAAAAAAAGCATCCGATTGACAGTTCTTTTTCTGTCAAGCCTCTCCTTAGGAGTTTGTGAACTAGGAAAAAAGTAATTTTCAACTCCGGAGCAACACAGCACTTAGTTTTCAATGTCATCCTCAGCTTCTGAGTGGAGCTAATTAGTTTGGGCTGAGGACTGCTCCTGCGTTTCACACCCACCTACCAGCCTGCTAATGGAAATTCCTCTGTAGGGCACTGCCTTATGAGCATAGATGTTGCCTCTGATTTTAATGCCTTGCCTTGGTCGCTATAAAACAGCCTATTTCACAAGAGATTTGTTGAATAGCCTTTTCATACGTGGAAAAAAAACCCTAGACTGTCTGAAAGGTGGTCAAAAGTTTCTGGTAAACCGTCCGAGGTGGTGACTGCGTTAAACTTCTGGAGAAAATACTTGTCTTCTGGTGCCATCTTGTGGCTTTCGGAGAGAGAGGCAGTCTGCGTATTTTCGTGTAATGTGTAATAAGGCAGTCAGTTAAAAATCCTTTATTTCGTTAAAGGATGTTATTTTAAACAATTAGTCTCTTGTCATTTGACATGTGGGGGTGGGGGAAGCCTTGCATGAAAAAACATGTACAAGCTGGATCTTAGATCGGAGATGCTAGCAGCACAGGTACTCCATTTAGGTTTTAGTATGGTAAAAGTCCTTGCAGGTAGCAATGTTATACTTCTTAATGGTCGTTGTGCACTCATGTGAGCTCGAGTTCAGGTTGTGCGTCTGGCTATGTCTGGATGTACTCATGCAAAAGTTGGCAGGACTGGTATCTTAGACTATGATCTTCATCGATGCTGCAGCTGCTTACTTCTGTATCCCTCCAAGCGCTGCACTTTGCATCGGTCAAAGTTGATTCCATGTTATAATCCTATTAAATAACTTCCCGAAACCTTATGGGAACCGCTAAAAGAGCTGGACTGTCATGTAGCTGGGTTTTTCTTTGCTGCTTCAAAGCATTTGGTAATGTCTCTTACGCATTTAGATATTCTAAAATATCTTCCTTAGTTGCGGAGCCGGGGACTGCCCATCACAGAACTTTTATGATCAATTGCACTTGTTGTACAGTGCAGTTTGCATGTGTGGGGCTAACACACAGCATCTCTAGAGCCCTCTTGAAGGCCGTGTAGTTCCATGTGGGGCCAAGCAAAAAGCCAAAGACCTAGGGGTCTCCGATAATTTTCTTTTGACTACACCAGGCATATGAGATATTTTTCCTATCTCCTGTTTTTTGGAGGGAAGAAGGAGCCTGTCGCCAGATCAGTGGATAGGTGTGAGGTGGCCTGGTTTCTTTACCAGCTTTCTGAAGTGTTGTCACTAGTGCTATAGGTTTAGGTTCTCAAATGCCTTCATTTCTTTATTCTTAAATTGGAAATAATTTTATTTACCGTTCTCTGAAGAAACTTATCGAAGGCCTGCTTATTAATATTATTATTAAAGTAATTTGAATTCTGTAGTATACAATATTCTCAATGTATATGTACTATATGAAAATATTTTACTGCATTTGCTTTTGTTTTGTGACAAGTGTGTATTTTTCGTTGCCCTTGAATCCAAGCAGAGTAAGGGAAAATGAAGCAAAAAAATACCTCCCATGTTTACAAACGGCACTGTGTCACAGAAATATTTCTTGTTGCACTTCTTCATAGCTGCTGTTATATGAGAGAGGCTGGATGAATAGATGGAAGCCTTCGGTTTTACATGAAGGGGAAGGAAATATAAGAAATGTAAAATGGAGAGGGCACTTAATTGCTTGGGCCAATAACATGGTAAGTATTTGTCACCTCTGTTAAATGAACAAAAATACTGCTGCATTACCCTGATATTTGAAATGTTTCAATGTTAATTGCCAAAATATTCCATTGAAAGGTGGTACATTTGAAGAATTGAGTATAAAAGGCATTGAAGGATAGTGGTTTAGATCCCATTTCTTCAGAGACATTTCTTCTGGCGTTTCATGCTGGCTAGTCAGTGTTCGCTATATGATTGCCAATTCTGAAAAAATCAAGAAAAGTATCTCTGCACCCTACTGTTAGGAGTGGTCACTACTGTACACTGTTGTATAGCAGAGTTCTGACCAGTGCAATTTATTGAAGGAAACTGTCTAAGAAATGAATGCCAATATAACTCCTCTTTATATGAAAAACAGAACATCACTACCTCCCACCACCCCAAACGTGTCTGGATTTTGTAATTTGTATTGAAGTGACATTATCATATGCACTTCTAATGTTGTAAATTATAAAAAATTACAGTAATAATGTCTTTGGTAGGCCACTGGAAAAGGTTAGACTTGGGAGAAAATAGGCCCTTTTTGCTCTAAGTGTAATTCATATTTTAAAGGCAACCATTGCTTTCATGCTGAGTGTTGTATTTCACCTATCACTGTATATCTAATCGATGGGTCAAGGTCTGTGTTTTAAAGCTCAGCAGTGAGGGATATGTTTTTAAGTGTGTATCATGTCTAAATTCCAAAGTCTTATTTTAAAATGTGGTGAAAGTACTTCTGAAACACTAGCTTTTCTCCTTTTACTGTTTTTCCCTTCTGAAAGGAAGCATTTATTAAAATATTTTAAAGTCATTGTTCTTCTATTCCTTTCAAAACCAGTTTGATACAAAATTGTTGGAGGTGGGTTTTTGTTTATTTGCTCCCCTTTAATAACTGCATTAGTATTGAAACTTCAGTGAGTGCTTGGTTGTCATAACATTAGCTCTTTTGAAGGTTTTAATTAAAATATATATTCTAGGTGAATCTGCTGGGAATAGATAGGACAGTTGAGGAGAGCTATCCCTAGAGATGATGTGCCACATCATAACACAGAATACTAATAAAATGTTGAGAGCCATCTGTCAGAGACAAAAAGCCATGGTCAGGGCCTATCTTTCAATGAAAAATGAAATAACACTTGCCCTCCAAAAGATTAATATATTTGGTTATTGGCCTTTCCTTTCCCCCTTTACCTTTTTAAAAATTTCTCCATCCTCTAGCAAGGTTTTGTGTTCCACTTTTTCTTTTGAAATCAGAGAAAATCTTTTATAGCCTTTCTTCTTACTGTGCATGGCTACCTAGTTTTTATTTTCTTATGCCTTTTTTTTTTTTGTACACTGTATGTGAGTTTGTTACACATTGGATATTCTGAGATGGGCTCCAGGTTATTTAGGCATGGTCTAATTCTGCTTGTCAATCCATGTTTGCTGCTGTGCCCTCTTCTCCTTCTCCATGGCCAAGAGTGTAAGTTTTACAGAGGCACCTGAGGACCAAATCTTTAGAGGAATTAGGCTGCTTAACTCCCATTTGAAGAGGTTTTAGACTCCTTCATGATAGGAAGTTGACTCTGAAAGTCCGTTTGGTTCATGAGGCAAATAGCATACTTTTAACTATAGAGGTTCCTCTGCTATGGATTGGAAAGGCACTTTAAACATAAGCTAGTCTATCCCATATAGGATTTGCTGCCTTGTAGAGAAACAGGTGGTGTGATATGGGTCACTTTTATCTGAAAAATATCCTTGAAGACCAAGTGGTAAGATTAATAAAGACAACTTCATTAAAATGCAGTTCAAGCAAGATTGCAAATTTTATCAGATGAGCATAGAAAACACAAAGCATAAGCTCCTTGTTTGTTACCCGGAGACCTGGGCTCTGTATGTTGCAGACGCTGTAAGCTGGGTTTTTTTCTGAAACCTTGATGGCTGTTAACCTAAGAGATGCCAATAGGAATGTGTTCCATACTGTTCTTCAGTGACAAAGATCACTGGGGAAAAAACAAAACAAAAAAACCAAAACAAACCAGCCCACCTACATACCACTTACTGCTCCTTCTGTTTTTAAAAAAAGAAATAAAAAAGAAAAAAAAAAGGAGGGATGGGGGGGAAGGCAAAACCTGGCTTAGACCGTGACCCCCAGGATTAGACTCTATGACTTACAAACAGTTGAATCTGTACAGTTGGGGACAAACTCATGAGAGGGGAGCAGAAACAGGCAGGGGAATCTTGTAAATCAGTTTTGTCACTAGAAAAATCCTAACATGGAATGGCATCCTGGACACTGACCTGTGAAGGTCCTTTCCATCCCTTTTTCTGTGATCATGGGAGTTGGGTTTTTTGCTCACTGAGCTTAAAGGAAATACCTACTAAAATCTTCTTGTTTTATTTTGGGGACTTTTGTTTTTAAATCACTAAGAAAAAGTCATTACTTAACATGAAATTAATCTCCATTTTGCTATTAGAAAAGTTATACCTCACCTTTTCTAAATGGCATGGAAAAATGATTAATGGCTGTCTCCCCCCCCAGTCCCCCAAATGACTTTAATCTTTCTTTCTTTAAACTTCTCGTTCCGTTTAGTTTAGGAGCTTTCCTGAAGAGACAGTGAAAAATCTCAGCACACAAACCAAAGCATCGTTTAAATAGGCTTGCTTTTCTGTTTTAATGTATGCGTAGAAATGCATTTCTGGAGAAGTACAGATTGGCCTCATTTATCTTAATGAGCTGTTGCTTCACATCTTTTCTTTTTCCAAAGTGAAGATTTCTGCTTCCCTACAGGGGCTGTTGTGGAAGAGCTGGGATTTTTTCATTTCTCCAGTAGTAGCACCAGCTGAACAAGCTGAACTGGTTCATGACAGGAATTGCTAATCTGTCACTCATTCACTTACTATATCTTTTCATTTGGCATGTGAATTTAAACTATCTGACTTGTAATCCCTTCGTTCCTTCTGTCACCTCCTGGGTTAGATGGGTCATTGTATCAACAACTTTTTCTGTTGGCACGCTCAGCCCTACCCTGAAACTTATGCCATAAACTGCTATGACTGCCTTAGCGTACAAAATAATATGTGATGTGGTGAGTAGGAGTTTGTCATTGTGGTGGGTTGACCCTGGCTGGATGCCAGGTGCCCACCAAAGCTGCTCTGTTACTCCCCTCCTCAGTTGGACAGGGGAGAGAAAAATTAACAAAAGGTTCTTGAGTCGAGATAAGGACAGGGAGAGATCACTCACCAGTTACTGTCACGGGCAAAACAGACTTGACTTGAGGACAATTAGTTTAATTTATTGCCAGTCAAAATCAAAGTAGGATAATGAGAATTTTTCATTTCTCCAGTAGTAGCACCAGCTGAACAAGCTGAACTGGTTCATGACAGGAATTGCTAATCTGTCACTCATTCACTTACTATATCTTTTCATTTGGCATGTGAATTTAAACTATCTGACTTGTAATCCCTTCGTTCCTTCTGTCACCTCCTGGGTTAGATGGGTCATTGTATCAACAACTTTTTCTGTTGGCACGCTCAGCCCTACCCTGAAACTTATGCCATAAACTGCTATGACTGCCTTAGCGTACAAAATAATATGTGATGTGGTGAGTAGGAGTTTGTCATTGTGGTGGGTTGACCCTGGCTGGATGCCAGGTGCCCACCAAAGCTGCTCTGTTACTCCCCTCCTCAGTTGGACAGGGGAGAGAAAAACTAACAAAAGGTTCTTGAGTCGAGATAAGGACAGGGAGAGATCACTCACCAGTTACTGTCACGGGCAAAACAGACTTGACTTGAGGACAATTAGTTTAATTTATTGCCAGTCAAAATCAAAGTAGGATAATGAGAAATAAAAACTAAATCTTAAAACATCTTCTCCCTTACCTCTCCCTTCTTCCTGGGCTCAAATTTACTCAGGATTTTCTTTACCTCCTTGCGCCCAGCAGCGCAGGGGAACGGGGAATGGGGGTTGTGGTCAGTTCATGACACGTTGTCTTTGCTACCCCTTCCTCCTCAAGGGGAGGACTCCTCACTCTCTTCCCTTCATCCAGTGTGGGGTCCCTTCCATGGGAGACAGTCCTCCATTAATTTCTCGAACGTGAGTCCTTCCCACAGGCTGCAGTTCATCACAAACTGCTCCAGCATGCGTCCCTTCCATGGAGTGCCGTCCTTCAGGAACAGACTGCTCCAGCCTGGGTCCCCCACGGGGTCACAAGTCCTGCCAGCAAACCTGCTCCAGCCTGGGCTCCTCTCTCCACAGGTCCTGCCAGGAACCTGCTCCAGTGTGGGCTTCCCATGGGGTCGCGGCCTCCTTTGGGCACCCACTTGCTTTCATGTGGGCTGCAGGTGGAGATCTGCTCCACTGTGGGGCTGCATGGGCTGCAGGGGCATAACCAGCCTCACCATGGTCTTCCCCATGGGCTGCAGGGGAATCTCTGCTCTGGTGCCTGGAGCACCTCCTGCCCCTCCTTCTGCACTGACCTTGGTGTCTGCAGAGCTGTTGCTCTTCCATATTCTCACTCCTCTCTTCAGCTGCAGTTTCTGTTGCCTTTTTCTTTTTTCCCTCCCCCTTCTAAAATATGTTCTCTCAGAGGTGCTACCAGCATTGCTGACAGACTTGATCTTGGTCAGTGGCGGGTCCGTCTTAGAGCCAATGCCAGCTGGCTCCATCAGACATGCGGGAAGCTTCTAGCAGCTTCTCACAGAAGCCACCCTTGTAGCCCTCCCTGCTACCAAAACCTTGCTGTGCAAACCCAATACAGTCATACTGTATAATGTTCTCTTGTATTTAAACTTTCAGGGCGTGAAGATACTTGACATGATCTCCAAGCAAAGAATTACCAATGTGCCTCGAGATGACATAAGCCTTCGCCCAGATATGTATCCCTGCAGCCTTTGCTGGAAGGATAATTTAACACTGATTATTGGCTGGGGAAATTCAGTAAAGGTGCAATTACCTGTCTTTGTAATAAATGCTTGCTGTTATCACAGACAAACAGAGGATTATTTCTGAAAAGCAAAGACAATCGAAAAAAATAGAATTTGCTTTGACTACAGTGTGCAGAACTCCTGCTGCCATAGAAATGTCATTGGACTGACCCTCATGAGGAGGAGCTGTGATAGACACCCAGCAGTCAGACAGATCTCTGTGTGTGAGCACGCAGCGAACGTAATCCTCAGGGACACTTTTCTCCTCTGTGCCTTGGAGAGATTACCTCTTTTGAAAGCTTTTAGTGGGCTGTTGAATTCATTTCTTTTGATTAGCATTAAGGAAGACCAACTTACCATGAGGTATTTTTGGAGGAGGTTGTTTTGGGGGCTGAGGAGGTTGTGACTGCTAAAGCAGCTGCGTGATTTCAGTCAACCATGGGGATAAAAAGAGGTGGGGTAGGAGGACAGGCAGCTTGGGGTTTTGTTCTGCTTTCAGCAGGGAACTGGCATTTTGAGCTTGTGTGCTGCAGACTGACTGTGAGTTGCTCAGACCAGCACCTGACATGAGTTTGTTACAAGCCTGTTAGCTGTTTTCTTACCACAGACTGCTACATCACTGCACAGTGGGAAATTAAAAGTGCTCTGTAGAAGTAGATGGAAAGGGAGGGTGAAGTGAGGTGAGTGAAGCGTAAAAAGCTTTTGGAGCGTTAAACTTAGAGTTTTACAAATGAGGAGGTTTGTCCTAAGTTTGCCACCTGTCTTCCCACTTGTATTGTGCTTGCTTCACAACATTTGGGTATTTGCATTTCTTTACACGTACATACTTTCTTCCTGTTGTTGCGAGTTGTAATAGCATATTCTTACTGAAATTGTAAGGTAAGGAGATGCAAAGTGTGAGAAGATGCCAAAACCAAACTCACATATATGCTACTCTAAAGAAATTGTAATGGGCAGATGTTTTCAGATTTGTCTCATGTGGTCCATCTTCTTTCTCCTTTCCCAGTGTATTTGTATGGCTGTGGACTACAGCTACAACTTTCCTGTCTGGTTTTCACTGTTTTATAGCCTGTGTTTTTCAAAATACAGAAATGCATGTCCGACAATGTCTCAATAAGATAAGGAGTTTCTGGGAAAAGTTAGTATCATTTTAGGAATTACAGTTTGTTCATCATAATGATTCAGATCTCTGTTTCCTAGATTTGCTCAGTGAAAGAACGGCATGCCAGTGAAATGCGTGACCTTCCAAACCGCTATGTGGAAATAGGTATGATGGTGCGAATACGCTCTTTTTCAAAATTATATAAGCTTTAAAGGTCTGTTTTCTCATTCTAGCCTGAAGAAGCTGTTACAGTTCAGAGGCTACGTGTAGTCATGACATAAATGTCTCCTCATTTTCAGTTGATGAGGTTGTCATAATGTGCTCCTGCACAGGTGGTGATTTTTTTAGTCATAGAGATCTTAAATTTTGTGATCATCTAAAATCAGAGATCCTTTTGTGAACGGTTGATGTCTTAACTTTCCCTTCACATAGAATCTTACAGAGAACTTGTTTTTTTTAATCTTGGTTAAATGGTGATCAGTGTAGTAGTAAGGAGAAAATAGACGCGAATTTATTTGATTATGTGTTACTTGGCTACACTGCTCATAACTTTTTTTTCTCTCTTTTTTTTAAAAACATCTCTGGTATAGTGCTTGAGTATTGATTTGAATTTCTTTTTGTTCCCTTTTTTGCTTCTATGTTTTATGTTCTCCTTTGCTTTCTTACTTGTCTACCTTAGGTGATGGGAATAAATTTCTTTATTGCTGATTAATGGAAGAGGTCTTGGCAAAATGTGTATTAAGTAAAGTGTTAAGTGGAATTCAAAGGAAATTTGGAGGGGAAGAGGGGGTGTAAACAAAAAGTCACAACTGTCCCCAGAAGCTTCTTCTGGCGAAAGGAAATATCTATGAAGAGGTAGTGCTGGGAAGATAAACAGGCCCTCTGGGACTCTACAGACTGAAGTGGACAACAGTTTATAAACTTTGGTGATTCCTTGTCTTGACTATAACAACATGAGATTGTAGACGAGAGTGTTCAAGTAAAAACCTGACTTACATCAGATTAGAGTGGTGTATGGCATAGGTGTATACTCTCCTTTCTAATTTCAGGAAAGAACCGTTTCAAAATAGCTTCTGAAAATCAGCTAGGAGACTTGTTAAACTCTGTAGGAACTCTGGATACTGAGAGATGGTGGCATGCCTGACAATTAACTGAGACCTGAAAGCTATTTGTTTAAGATTACATAGTCCCAACAGAATTATTAACTGTGGACTTCTAGGATATTTGGGAGAACTTTGTCAAGGAGAAGTTCATTCTTGAGTTTTAGCCTCAAATCTTTACTTAGTATTTTCTGTACCTGTAAATAGCTTTTAGAAAATAATTAAATGGGTTTCTTTACATAGTGACAAGTGAACAGAGGCAACTTCTACTTCAGATATAATGTGTCTATGTGGAGGGAGCTAGTCTGATATGATTCTCTGGAATCTCTGTTGGAACTTCACTTATTAAAAAGAAAAAGCTGTCAGACTATTTAGGTGCAGACCTGAAGCTTAGAGACTTTTGTGGAAGTAACTTTTTTAATCTTACAATTTTTAGCCTAAAATCTCTGTATTCTTTAAGGACTGGAATTCTATCTCAACTGTTAATGACATGCTTGAGATTTTTCTTTTTGGTTTCATGTCAAAGCACTGAAACAGCTCTGCCAAATGCTGTCAGCACTGCTCATTGGAACGTGGGTATTAAATCGGGAGAGAAGAGAGACACATTATTTGTTCAAGTCTCAGTATAAATTACAATAGCTTTTGATGTAGTCACATAGAACATCTTCTTGAGAGCTTTGTGTCATGCTATAGCATCTCTTTCAATTTTATTTCAACTTTATGTTTTAAAGGCATACTGGAAGGTCTGATATTGTTAATGGGCAGACCAGCAACAGTATAGGTTTTTGCAAGACCATTAATATCCTAAGTGGATGCATAAGCTGATACACTTCATAATGTAAAGAATTTCTACAAGGCAAGAATATCCTTCAGTGGCAGGATAGCTGAATGTGCTTCAGATGTTTTGACTCATCTTGGCCGACATCTTTTGCCAACATCTTGGCAACATACTTATGAAAAATGAAACCCATTACACAGTATAGCTTTTGTCATGCATGTGTGGACTTCTTTGGGTGGGGGTTTTTTGGTTTTTTTTCCCCGCTGCTTTTACAATTTTGCACTTGGAATGAAAAGCAGAAGTGGAGTAAGCGACTTAATGGTCTCCTTTAGAGCCTTTCTGAGGGCCTCAAACTTCCGTAATAGTATCATAGTAAACTGTGATGGCATTAGTAAATAACAAATATTTCTTAGTGGTTTGCAGCCCAGTGAATAAGGAAACAGAGCATTTCCTGCATTGCAAATTAGGTTCATAGGATCCTGTGTAACAAGGTCGTCCTCATCTTCTCAGTCTGTCTGGACACACAGCTATACTTACTCTGAGGCAGGAAATAAATAAGGTGTCTACCATATTTACTAAACCAGATGGCCCTTAATGTGGGCAGGTAACATCACTGAACTGTTCTAGCTGGTTTATTTTAAAAAAGATAATGCTGTGATTACCTGTAAGAGAAATTAGGTTAATTATACAGGTCTCCTGTACTTAGATCTGCATGGTATTGCTAATTTTATTTACATCTTTCAATATATTAATGGTGCTTTTCTTCTGTAATCTTTTGCATTGTCTCTGGTTATATATTACAGTTCATTGTGTCCATGGGTCTTCATTCAGTGTTGAAGATAAACACCAGTGAAATTTTTCTATTTAGGTTTAAATGTATGTTAGCTGAGCAGATCCTATCAGTTTAGCTCTGTCAGCTACCGCTGTGAAGTAGTGTATTGATTAGAAACTATTGGTATTGAATTACAGGCTTAGCATAGACTAAATGCCGTTGTGATCCTCCTTAAAGAGTGCTTGACCTCTGTGCTCACTCCTGATGCATGTACAAAAGCTGTAATGCTGGACAACTTCTGGTCTGAACAGGGAACCCTTCCTCAACTGGAGTCTGTGACAAGGCTGGTTGATTAGCACTTTGCAGTTAATACGATGCCTTTTCATTTGTGAAACAAATCTAGTCTTCAATGGCCTTGTCAAGTAGCTCGGGATTTTATATACTTTCATGAGGAAGTACTTTATCTCTGCCTCAGCTACTCAGGTTGTTAATGATAGTGGAAAATATCGAATAAAATATTGAAAATAGAGATTAACATTGGAAGTCAGTAAAAGACTTGAAGTCAATTAGAGACTTCCTATTCAACTTACTTTAGCCCAAATTTTATCTGAGCAACCTCATCTTAATTCCAGGTGCCAACCAGCCAGCAATACCTCTTGCGCACTTGTCTCTCCTCTGCATTCCCCCAAATTCCCCATAAAGTAGAATTCTGGCTTAAAAATGATGTGTTTTGTGGCTACGCTTGTAACAAGACACCTGTATGTTTTGTGAAGGAATAACTGTATAACTACATGGCAAATTATCACCCAGCATTGAGATTGCACATTTTTATGTGAAAAGAAAACAGGAGTATTTATTTTTTGGTTTGTGAAGTGAGATACTGGGATCTACTATACCAGGATTTTTGTCTTTATATAGATGGAACATAAAGCTTAATTAATGAATGTGATGAGCAGGAAATTAATTGTGACTAAATGTCATCAACTTTATATGCTGATTTATGCAAACATTTAATTTCATTGGAGTAAGTCTGCTACACTCTGAGAAGTAAGTTGACAAAAAAAGAAAAAAGCCCAACCCATTTATATAGCTAATTCCTCTAAGATTTGCTGCAAGCCAAACTGATCATTTATAAATTTCTTGATAAAATTAATCAAGACTATCAGACTCCTGAATATTTCCCTGTTGGTTAGCAAAGTTTCCTCAGTTCAATGTGTAATGGAAAAAAGAGTTTTTCAGAAAATCAACTTTGAAGCTTTGAAACGTAAGCTCCTGACTTTCTAGTTGTCATCATGGATTCCATGGGATTTCCTTAAAGGTTGTGTATGTCTAGCTAGAGAGTTGTACAGGCAATTGCCATATTTCTAAAGATGATTTTTATTGCTGAGGTGGAATAGGGGTAAGATGATTTCAGTACCATGGTAGCACTTCTGTTACAGGCAACCTGACTGCAGGTAAAATAGCAAATTGTAACACTGCTTACAGTAGACAAAACATTTTTCTAATTTAATTGGAAGAGTAGACCTCAGCAGATGGATGATTACTGGCATGATGAGGTAAGTGGGCTTTTTTCTTGATGTTTCTGATTAGCATGGTAGTATAATTGAGAGAAACAGTTTTGTTTTCATAGCAAAATTCTTGCTCGTTTCCATTCTGTGCTGGTGGTAAGGCAACAGTTTTCAGGGACAGAGGCTTTACTGATTTTAAGCCTAGGTGGTTGTTTGTTTTTTTTTGTTCAGTGATCGTATTCAATTAACAGTATCATTTTCATTACCCTGCTTTGCTTTAATGAAAATGTTCATCATCTTTGACGTGTGGCATTTGAAGTTATATATAGAATGATTGATTAATGGCTGCTAATTTTTTCTATAAAGCTTTTCTGAACCTTCAACACTCGAACAAATAAATTTGAATATGAGTTTTCAAACCACTTTGATTGTAAATAAATAGTAGAGGGTCTGAATTCCAAGTTTGGAAGCATCAGTTTTTGCTAGTCATCGATGCATAGCACTTGCCATTGATTTTAGTCTTAGCCTACTGCTCTTCCTACTGAAATTCAAGGAAAAAGATAGTCCATTAAAATGCCATAGCAATTTGTACATAATTAGGTAAATAGTTGCTTGATTTCACATATAGTAGTCTGGATAGAAAATTTGCAGGGACTTCTAAGGATATGCAAGCCCAAATAAAGGATCTCGATGTGGGTTACTTCACTGCTCCTCCCCAGAAGTTTACAGTGCCTTTGGAGTTGCACCTGACATTTCTTTAACTGGGCACATCCTGACCTTTCTGCTTAGGCTTTTAGTCAGAGGTAGGTCTGCCCTGGAAATTTGAATTATATTAAGGCTGTTGTGGAGTCTTATGGGAGATAGAAACCAGGTGTTCATATATGAAGATTTTCAGAGCAAAATATGAATGTTAAAAATATGAGATTTGTAATTTCTTCAAAGATTATATTGTACACCTAAAAGTAATAATATTCTTTTATTTCAGTAAAAATATATTATGTATATATGTTTATGCTTTGTGTTTTGTTTCTATACATCTAAAGATAGCATAAGGGACACTTCTGCGGGACCTTTTCCGGTCCTCTAACTGGAACTTAATGCACATACTGTGGAAAAAAGAAAAAAAGGTCTTTTTATATTTTATATTGAATGCACCTTCTTGCACATGATCATAGGTAATCAAAACATGGCATTTTGTATTGTAATCTGTTTTGCATAAATAACCTAGTTCAGTAGAAGCATTGGTGGTGGAGATACCATCTTGTGAACACGTAAGGGTGTGCTGTACTGTGGCCCACAGCAATGACCGCAAATTTTGCAGATGTACCTGGAGTAGCTGGATAAAAGGTAATTTGGGAATGTGTAGTGGCACTCTGTGGTGGCTAACTGTTAGCACTGAAGCAGTTAACAGTGCACCAGAGTTCTAGGTGAGCTGGGATGGTTAATGGTGCTTTGTGGCTCTGCTGCTGTTCATAGATGAGTGGGCTACCTAAAAATTAACTTGTGTGTTGGCTTTTCCATTTCTTTCATGTATCAAATGGAATTAAAAAGAAAACAAACCCCAGAACATCCTTCTTTTTCTCCACACATTAAGTTTCATGTTAATTCTTTGTGTGCTAGTTCAGCTTCCTGCTTACTTTCCCAAAAGACAATGTTGAAACCTTGGCCCCATTTGAAATCAGTCGCAAAAACCTCAGACTGTAAGCAGAATTTCACTCTATAAATCTGCAGTGGAAAAGCAGGGGCTGTTTTTTGAGATTTGATTAGACGAAACAGACTTCTTTTAGTTTCAGTCCACCACATGTGTGTGGATCATTGAATTCCAAAGAAAGTTGCTTTATAGAGTTTGGGTAAATAATGTAGCATATATTGTTTCATTTCTGTAGTGTGGTGTATTTCTATTTAATACATTTTGTTTAATAAACAACAAAAAAATTATTTGCAGGTTTCTTCTTTTTGCTTCCTGATAATTTGTTTGACAGCTGAACATAGAGTAGATCCACTATCAGCATATCTTCTGTCTTCTCTTACGACAGGCATAAACATGTATGACACGTGGCCATACCTCGATCATTCCCATTTACTTCGATACTACCTTTGTTTTAATTATTTTGGATCCTTTTCAAATTAATAGCATTTCTGCAATGCCTCTGTGTTGGACTTTTTTTTCCCTTTGATCACAAAAAAGTGTCCAGAGAGTAAGTCAAATTAACCTGTTAGTCTTCTGTGCAGCTATAACTTCTACAATTTTTTTTCAGTGAGACTTTTTTGATTAGCTGCATCAAAGGTTTTCATCAGGTCAAGAAGCACTGTCTATGCCAGCTATTCTTTGTTCAAGGCTGTAGCAGCAGAGCTAGAGCTTTGTGTTTCAATAAGGCCTCTTGAGGAGGATGAGCTTAGAGAAAGCTGAAAGTGAAACCAAGGAGACTAAACTATTTAAAAACAAAAGTTGAAGTGGTGATTTTTATTTGTTTGTTTATTTTTGTCTTGCAGAACAGTACTACTGCTTGACCCTAAATACACCATTATGTGGATGTTACAAACATTTTCACTGGGAAAGGAACTGAAGTTCCAGTCAAAGTCAAAGAAACATACGTGTTTTTTTTGAAACTGTCCCCACAATCTTTGTAAATGTACTGTTCACCATGATGTTTTTCTCTTCGAATTCAAACCACAATATTTTATATGCCTTTGAAACCCTTCTCTTACTGCTTTTTAAAGCTGAAATAAAATTTCTTTGCTTGTCCTTCTCGCCAACATTATGGATTTGACTTTGTTTTTTCTTTTAAAATGCCAAATACTAAATTGTAAACTGGGAATAAGATATGTATATGTTCCTGACATGGTTTGTTTAAAATCATCACTCAGAGCAACATGTGACACAGTCAAAGTAATCTCATCAGTCTTGCAGGCTAGAACAAAATAATTATGTACAGGATTACAAATGTGAACCTGTTCTCTCCTAGAGTAGATTGAGTGCTCTACCCTTGTGCCATGCTTTGGTCCCCCAGTGATGTCAAAGTGTCAGCAGTCATTAAGAGAAAAATAGTATTTGCTTATTCATTGAGAGACAGGTGTCAAATCTGTACTTTACTTGACAGTATTTTATTCTCCTTTAGAAGGAGGATTATTATTTCTCCTGCTCCTTCTTATTACCTTAGCTAAAGCAAATTAGCTTTATTTTTGGTGTCATTATGCTGCATTTTCCGTTTGCTTTGCTAACATAGTAACTATTTTAGTAAACAGTAGATCTTAGTAATGTAGTGTGCTAAGCAGTCAGCAAGGAAACAGGTTTTTTTCTACTTGCACTTAGATTCTCCTAAAACCATGTTTTGTGAGAAAATGGTGATGCATCTGACATTTTTGTAAAAGCTTATAGGTATAAGTTTTTTTTTCTAACATAACCACTTGGATGATTCCTGTTCTGGGCCCCGTGAGAGAGGACACCACAAAAAGGGCCTCCCAGTTGTTGAATCCACTGTAAATACAGAAGAATGAAACAAAACAGCTATTTCTGTGGCAGAGGTCTGCTTTAATGAGCCCTTTTGTAAATACAGTTCAGCTCTCTTTCTTTCTCTTCCTCAAGTCATCATGTAGCCATCTCAATGTTAAAACAAATTTTAGGAAATTACATGTTCAGTTTTAAGAACAAGGGACTATTTAACCATATGTTTTCTTTGTCATGAGGGTATCTATAAATCTTCCTGTGATGTTTAAAATGACGATAAATAAACTGTGATCTTTGTGTTTTCATATAACATGCCAAGAAGTGTAGCAGGTGTGATTCTCTTACAGTCTCATGACTTGCTGCAAATATGCAAACCAATGAAGATGTTTGATTTATTGCCTGTTTTACTGAGTTTGGTTTTGGTTTTGCTTCCTTTTTTTCAATGTGATGACTGAAAATCAGGCTGACCATTCATTTCAAACATTTCATCTCTAGCATGTCCTGGAGCACAAACATTTCTTCTTGCAAGCTTCAATGGAATTTAATGTGTTAAATGTAATTTTTCATCTTGCTGATCCAGCTGGGAAGTCTGTAGGTTTGTTACATGTATTGAGTCTTCATTTCTCTGAAGTGCTACTGCATACTGTTGATTGCCACTGAAAATCAGTTGGGTGTTTTGCTTGGGGAGTAATTAATACACGTTCATTTATGTAAGTCTGTTGTCTTTCCTGTATTTCAGTTTTCCAGTTCGACACTGAATTTTATATCAGTGGACTTGCGCCTCTCTGCGACCAGCTTGTTATACTTTCATATGTAAAGGAGATTTCCGAAAAAACGGTAATTGTATTTACACTAGAATTTCTTCACAGCATTAAACTGCCCTGTGAGTCGGGCCTTAAACTAGTCACGCAAATCTGATTATCTGTGAAAAAATTTGTAGTCCCCTAGTAATGAACAATGCTTGAAACTTCTCTGACCTCCAAAATAAGGTCAGTGGAGGTGATGTTGAAGACGAGTGTACTTACCTTTCAGAAGTCCTGTTTGGGTTCCTTTATTTCTTGCAGGAGGCAGAGAAGTTCTCTAGATAGTCCTTCTCTTTCCTTTTCCTTCCTTTTTTTCCCCTCTGTCTTTTTCTCTCCTTCTTTCTGCTATTTCTGCACCAGAAGAAATGAAGAATCTTTTTTTGCCATGAGAGGCTTGCTGACACTGCATCTTGGAAGAAATGAGAGTAGTGAAGTTGATCAACTCAAGCAATAAGTGCCACTGTGGCGGGGGTGGGATGCATGATTGCGAGCGGGTGGCATCATTGCCTCCCTTGCTTCTGAGACCTTTAGTTGTGTATGCCCAGATACATGTGTAGATAGGTAGAAATTAGAATTCATGTCAGCCGTTTCTACTGTGCGCGGGCGAGTGCCACGTCTGTCTCCGACGTTTATTTCATATTGCCAAATAAAAGGCGAGGCAGTGGAGGAAATCCTTGAAGTTGTGGTGTGAGAATGGCAGATGCTCTTGATCATCTCTTTGATAGCACGTCTGCATTAGAACAGCCATCTCCATAGTAACCTTAAGCAACTGGGTGCACAAGTTGCTAGGCAATGAAATGCTGTAGGTTCAAACAAAAGCTTGAGCCTGCTGAAATCAATAGGGTTAGCTTCTAGCTCTGCTGCAGGATGTCAGATTATTATTTCTTTATTTATATTAAGGAGAAAAACAATGTCACAGCAAGTGTTTCCCAAGAGAGCCAGTGCAGTAGTCCTCTAGTGCGGGAGAGTCAGTGAAAGAAAAGGAGGCAAACAAATGGGATAAGGAAGAGGGAGGAAAAGGTGTGTTGAAATGTCTAGGGAGCAAGGAAATGGGGAAGCTGCTGTTAATGAAGTAGTAGCATGGGAAAGCAGCTTGTATAAAGGAGGTAGTGACCAATAAAGGTTAAAGTCATTCTAAGTGCTTCGGGAAGGAAAGATGAAAAGAGAATTTCAGGTGATATAATGGTAATAGGATGTAGGAAAGAGATTTTTTCATGTATTTGCTTTTAATTAGCCTTTTAAACAAACTCCAAATGCTGGACTTTGATAACTTCTCAGTTCTCTGGGTAAGTCTAGCAAGGAAACAAAAGTACTCTCCTTCTCTCCTTGTCTGTGCCCTGGTGTGGTGGGAGCCCCTCTGTTAGTGTCTTGGCTCCATGGAGCCTGAGGTGCCCGAGCTTGGAGCAGAAGTGCTGCTCACTTCAAATGCTGTTCTGTTGTGAGGAGCACTGTTCTTCCTATGCTTAATTTCCCAGCTTTCAAATGACAGCTTCCTACTTGTTACAAGTTGTGTCAGAATTGAACTTTGATATTTTATTTTTTTGTTTTTATTTTACTTGCACTGGAACAGTTAAATTGAGAAAAGACCCGAGTGGTGCTGCTGCCAGTGCGTAGGCTAGGGCTGTGTAAATCCACCTTGCATGTCTCCTCACTCTTTCATTAGGTATTTTGGTATAACTTACAGCCAGAAGTAGAAAATAAGGTATTGTCTTGGACCTTGACTTAATTAAAAACACAGCTAGTTGAAGGCAGCGGTTTGCCTTGGATAGAAGATGCAAATTCATGTAATCTTACCATAAACACCTACATTGCTCTTGAAAGCTCATGTTACTCTAAAATCATCAGCACAGCAAGGGTTTTAGATTATTCTCAGATTAATTTTTTCCCTGCTGCTGCTGGACACTTAGAAGTGCAAACTTAAACACCAGCTAAAAAAAAATCAAGTTCATCTTAGTACCAGAATATCATTGATTCATACAGTGCTGTCTTTCAGGGCCTGAGCCCAGCTGAGAATGTGTCTTAAATTGTTCTGTTGCTTGTTGGATGCAGTGGTTGATGATCATCTGTGATAGCCCTCAAAACGTCTGTGACCGAGAGCAGAAAAATAGTGAGCAAACTCCGGGGAAGTGTTAGACCTCTGTCTTGTCTAAACTTCCTTCTCTGTGTGCTGGTCTGTTCAAGGGAAGCAAGCCAAGAGTAGGAATAACTTTCCTTTGCATTTCAGAGGCGATTACAGCTACTCTGTGGAGCACAACTTTGCAACTTGTGTGGTTCACAACTGAGTGCCCAGTGCAAAGTACTGGACCTTTGGGAATATTTGCAGTTGTTGAAATTTCATCCTTGTTTATAGGTGACCATTAGTTAACATTGCTAAGGTAAATTGTTTAGAATGCAACTAAGGTATCTGCATTTTTTTAGGAAGTGGAGTGTTGTGCAAGGCCTAGACTGGATATTGTACAACCCCTACCTGAGTCCTGTGAAGAGATCTCTTCTGATGCACTAACAGTACGAGGATTTCAGGAAAATGAGTGTAGAGATTATCATTTAGGTAGGTGTTCTTAATATTGTTTTATTTTGTTTTCATAATTTGGTTAAAAAAGACTTGATTTGGGAGGACTCAGCCTCCTTTTTCATTTTTATGTCATCGCCTTGAATAACTGTCTATAACTGCTGATGACACTGAAGTGTAAAGTGAAAATCCACAAGAAACAAATGTGCATATCTAAACATCATGATTTGTAATGCCATCTATTAAGTCAGACATACTGGGGAGGGCAGAAATATAGATCTCATGTAATGTCCAGTATTGTGGAAGGCAGTATCTTTGGTGGAGATGTATTCAACATGTGATCTGTTGGAGCTCTTCTGTTTCTTTGGACACAAAGGGCTTCAGGAGTAGTGAAATGAGTGATACAGTGTCTGGAAAAGCTGCTTTAGAGCCAAAGATGGAATAAATGTCATTTCAACAGTAACATGCACCTGGATCAGCTTAAAAGGGGCTCACTGATATTTTAGCTTCCCTGTGCTGACAAAGCTGTCAGTGTATAACAGATATTTTATAATGGTAAAATGTAATGAATAGAAACTGGAGTTTGGCAAGTTCAGCCTAGAAGATAGGTTTAATTATGTAACACTCAGGGAGATTAAGGCCTGGCACAATATATATCAGTCTTTTAAATAAGATGGGATGGTTTTCTAATATATGTGTTGCAGTTCAGAAAGATGCATGGCAAAGCTGCGGCAGAATTCCTTGGTGAAGATTATATAGCCTCTGTTATACAGAAACATTCCTTCTGGCTTTTAAAATCCATTAATCTGATTTTTAAGCATCTTCTCTGGCAGCATGCTTCAAATCATAGGCTTGGCAGGCCTCTTTGTGTACATCAATGCCCTTAAGCCACTAGAAATATAGTATATCTCCTCCTAATCTCCAAAACATCTCTGCTGCTATCAGTAGAATTGAAATTTCTTTATAACTGTCCCTAAGCAGAACATTGATGCCCACAGTTGTACTTTTATGGTAATGAATATTCTAGTTAATCTGACAAATCTAAATTTTTTGGATGGCTTTAAAACAAGCATTATTTTACGGATTGCTTATCAGTTCAGGAGTGTATTTGTATGCCTGTATAGATACAGATAAAGGATGGGGGATGGTTTTCTTTCCTGTACCTACAAAATATTGATGGTGTTTCTTCATGGGTTCTGTGGAATTAGTAACTATTCTGAACAGTCATCCTCTGATTTTACCTTTAAGTACATTTTTACTTTGAGCTTACTCAAAAATAAAGGCTTATGGTATAAGCAAATGCATTATACATATCACCTTAACTTACAGCATTGCAAATGCATTGCTGTAATGATGTGCTGTGTCCCCAGGGGTTATGGCATCTATCATTTATGCTTTTGATGGCCTTGACCTTGATGGGGAGGATAGGTTTATTGCCGGCTATGTAGTGTAATAGTCCTCTAAAAGTATAATAATGTGTTCTAAACCATCATAAAGTTTACACATAGTGGATGAATCAGAATTTGCAATAAGCTGTAGTGATTTTTTTTTTTTGAAAGCTATTTTGCCATTTAAACCAGTTTTAATTTATTGGAGAATACAGCTTCCCAAACAAGCATGTTCTGCAGGACTAGCCTTGCTGTCTCCCTTGCATCTCTTCTTTTTAAATTCCCCTCAAGGGTATACTAAAAAGCAGGACTTTGCTTAAGGAAAATACAATAATAATAAAACTGTATATGCATTTGCAGAGTATTCGGAAGGTGAATCACTTTTTTATATCATCAGCCCAAGAGATGTTGTTGTGGCTAAAGAGCGGGACCAAGATGACCACATTGACTGGCTTCTTGAAAAGAAGAAATACGAAGTAATTTTTACAACGTTCTTTCCTTCAAGCTTTCCTCGTTTGGAAGTTGGGGTGGGATGATGAACTTCGCTAGATCATTTGGATGGGATAGTTTCTGTTCCTACAGTCATTGACTAAGTGCTTGTAAAGGGTAGGAGTTGACTATACATCTCACCATCTCTCTGGAGAGAGAGTCTTCCTACTGAAACAACTCATCTAAATGGCACCCAAGTGAGGCAGCTGAATTAGTTGCTGTGAATACTGCTCTCAGCATCAGATATGAAATGTTTTATATATTAGCTGTCACTGAAAGTTATTAAAGATGGGGTTTGGCTTTAAAGAAGCAGACCAGTTAACTAATGAGGTACGTGGATATTGTGATAGATCTATCCCAACTAAAGAGGGAAGGTAAATGGACTGGGGGGGGCATATTAGATTTTTCCCATTCTATATCACTGCCACTATGGAATGAAAAGGTTGTGTTAGGGTGCTGTGTGTTGCTCTGCGTTACTTACCTTCAGTGTTGAAGCTTTTAAAAGCAAAATAATACGGGCTTAAACTGTAATTATTGGTGCTAAAAGTAGTGTTACTCACAAAAAACCAGAGTCAATATATTAAAAAACAAGGGTATACACCTCCCTTGGGAAAAAGCAGCTGTATTTGATGACTAAATATTGTTGTGTTTAAGCATGTATATCTAAACACCTAAAACAATAATAATAAATTCTTACAGACAATATTAACATGCACCCAGTGTTCTGGATTCTGATGTCCTGCAGTTAGTAACTTAGAACACTTGTAATGATGCATAAAGGAACTTGCAAATGCTTATTTACATGTTATTTGTTGGATGCCCATTATAAGAAAAAAGATGTGGGAAAGCCATTCAACACGTATTCCTTTTGTTAATGCAATCATGATATTCCTCACGCAGATTTGTTTAAATCCTTGTGGATGCTTTTGCATCTGAATAGCAAACTCTTATGATGAGTGGAATTTTGCAGTTTATGTAAATCACAGCATTTGGTCCCTGAAGACTCCAGTAATTTGCAAGTGACAGCTGTGCATGTGCCTTTGTGAAAGCCATTCAAGGTAGTAGATAGCTTGTGTATTATGATGTATGTTAAAGGTTTCATTTTGTTTGTAAAAGTGCCAGCTTTGTTTCTGTACATTTGAAAGAAGTAGAAGAATAGCAAAAGACGCTTAAATATAAATCAGTTTGATTGGAGAAGACTTTTGGGTAGGGGTGGTGCAAGGTAGCCTTCCCTCACCCCATTTCCTGATGATTTTTTTCAAAGGTTTTGGTAGTGAAGGGCTCTCATTTGAAAATGATTCAGTGCGATTGCATTGTCCGTTTCATTGTAATCTTGCGATTTGATCCTAATATAGTAATGTGGAGTGAACCCAGATGGAAACAAAAGTAGTTTTCTCTTTGGCTGACTGCTTTTGTTTGAGTATGAATTCAAAGCTGTTCATCCAACCATGGCATTAAAAATTCTAGCGCTTCAGACACCCTGCTCTGAAAAATAGTTGATTTATGTAGTTCTAGAGCTTTCTGTATTGAAAGTTTGTATAGTTGGCTAGTATCTCTGTTTTTCTACTTTTTGAACATAGGAAGCTTTGATGGCAGCTGAGATAAGTCAGAAAACCATAAAAAAGCACAAGATTTTGGTAAGTCTCAAAACTTCGTTTCAAAACAAAATATCTGATATCTTTTAGAACACTATGAGATGCTACAAACACATTCCCTGTTCTGTATTGCACCAGACAATAGCTGTTAGGCATACTCCAACTAGCATTCGATTTCCTGGTTTCAGCTGCAGAACAGGAATGTTAGTGTGTGAAACATGAAAGGATCTGGATTTTATTAAGGTGCTATTGACATTAAAAAGAAGAGAATTGCACGTTTCTGATTTCTGATGGGGTTTTTGTTTGCTTTTACTTTTGTATTAAATTTGCTGCTGTTTCAAGTAACACACAGTATTACAACATTAGAGATTGAGAGGGGGGTGACACATTTCTCTTTAACTTTTACCTTGTACATGTGACAGGGTTTTGGCAGGAGTTTAAAAGGTACAATTGGAAGACCTTTTAAATGCTATTGAAATTCAGTTGCAGTTTCACATCTAGCGCTCTCATGTTGCTTTGCAATTCTCATTATTTTACATAGTTAAGCTCCTTTCTCCTTTATAGTTATTTCCCGTGTTCATAGTCCCTTCACAGAGCAACAAAGGGTGTCGATGTTTAAGATAAAAGTGGGGGGATAATGTAATAGCCACAAAAGCGTTGCTAATTTTAGCTCTTTTTTTAGTTTGTTTAGCTTGACCTCAGTGTGAACACATTGGTATTTCATTAATACTGCTGCTTCTTTAAATGGAAGCTTATTTTAAGTACAAAGTGTTAGAAAATGTGTTTAATTTTTAGCCAGATTACTGCTATAATATGCACACTGTATATCTGTATGTCTTAAAAATTCTGTTCTTTTTGTGTAATCCAGAAGTTGAATCAAGGCCTGATGGCATGCCATCACCTATCACAGAGTTTGTATGATTTAGCCACTCTGTGACCCTTGCAAAAAGATGGTTTGCAAAAATTTGCTCTGCTAGGATTAAATTCAGTGGGGGTATATACAAGCAGATCTGTTGAGTGTTTGGTCTCTAACGCAAAACCCATGGAATGTGTTGAGGGGAAAAAATGTTGACCTCAAGGATTTAAAACAACTCATGCTCTCACTGTCCAGTAGCAATCAGACCAATGATACTACACTCACACCACCTGACAGGTCTGGGGGTCCTGGGTATATTTTAGGTTGCAGTAATGATCACTGCCCCTCTGCACCTCTTCAGCACAATGTAACGGTCCTAAACAACCACAGACGCATAACGCCTTTCCTTATACTGTCTTCTCTGCTCACTGGGGAGCTGGCCCACAGGAGAAAGAGACTGCCACAGATCCCCATTCTTGATAATGATGAAGTTGAAAGTACAAAGGTGGTTCCTACAGTGGAATCAAATCCTAAAATCTGGTTTATGTGCATGAATTTATTTTTTTTTTTAAACTTTGTAGTAGATTGAACAATTTAAATTGTTAGGTACCTCAGTGCATATTCTATTCCACTCAATACTGTCCTTGATTTTGACAAAAAAATTTTATGTTGTATCTCAGAAGACACAAATGTTTTTTTCTATAAGAAGCAAGAACTGTTTTTTTCCCCTTTCATTGTACAACCCTCTTTTTTGCTGGAAAAAATATGCTTTTAGTTATGTGATTCTTAAGTTATGCAGTGGGTACACTGGGCTGCATTGACCTTGACACCAGCATTGGGATTACATTACAAAGTATAATTGTTTCACCAAAATTTTAATATATTAAATGCCTACCCGAATAATTTTACAACTGCCCTATGTGATAAATGCTTGAGAGGGGAATTTAGTATGTAATAAAATGTAACGATCTTGCTAAATTGTCGGTAATTCCTTTACCTTATGGAGCAGCACTAGGTTATATTCTTAGTGTTTTTCCCCCTGCAAACTTTGTGTTGACAAAGCCTACAATGGCTGGTGGTTTTACTTTTGTGATAACTAATGCAGGCACTGACTGATCTGCTATGTTTTGAACAATCCTTAATATGTATAGGTGGCACAGTCTTTCCAGTGTCAATGTCATTCTGAGAATTATTTAAAAGAGCATCTTAATTTGAACCTGTGAGTGATCTAGGCAAGTATTTTGTGTTGACTGGTCTGTGGGCCCTACATCTAAAGGAGGATTGAAGGTATCCACTTAGGGCCTGGTGCTTGACCTAGTGACGGTGCATGCAGTTGGAATGATGGTTATTGTGGTAGTCAAGCATTTCACTTCCAAACTTTAGAACTAATTCATTATTTTTATTCCCTTTAGGACATTGGCTTAGCTTATATAAATCACCTTGTGGAGAAAGGAGAGTATGACCTGGCTGCTCGGTAACATATTAAAGATTTTCTTTGCTGGCTAAAGTGTATCTGTGTGCAGAAAAAGCGAACGCAAATTACTGATTCTGAAGTATTTTGTGATGTTGATTTTTCTGTGTGTTCTGGAGTTTCTGAAGATTCAAAACATACAAATGTGTTACTGTACCTGCTATTGCCTTGCCTTTCTTGACCCAAAAGTTACTGTAATCTTTCTAAAGTTTAATTAGAATTGAGACATATGTATTTTTGAAAGTAAGCCTTTTTTTTTTCCAGTCACACTAGATATTCAAAATTGAGGTTTTTCTGTGGATGTTGATAATCATAAGTTTATTAGTGTGTCATTACAAGTAAGACCGTCAGAAAATAAATTGTGGTTACATGGGTGTAAACAAGAACGTCAAATTTGGGTATCTAAAGTAAGAATCAGGAAGTACGTAAGATTTCTGTTTTCAGGTATATGGATGTGTAAGCATATCTTTTTAAGTGCTCCATTTTACTCAGCTGAGATTTAAAAAAACACTCATAAAGCTAATATGGCCCTAATCAGTAAGGGTGAATGCATAGTAAGCAATCACGTCCTCTTGGATGCAAAGAAATTGTAAGATCTGAAAGGAGGAGTACCTGGCATACTCTGCTTGAAGCAACTGTTGCCAAAATAAGTGACCTTTGAAAGTGTCTTGATAGGGAGAAGAAAAGAGAAAGGGATCGTTATAGTAATGCTGTCACATTTGTGTTATTCTGTGTACCTACTTTTGTTTTCTCCCCTTTCATCTTCCTTCCAGAAAGTGCCAGAAAATTCTTGGCAAAAACACAGAGCTCTGGGAATTTGAAGTTTACAAGTTTAAAGAAATAGGTCAGCTTAAGGTAAGTTAATTTGCATCTCTGAACTCAAGTAATTGGCGTGCTGTATTTCCTGCATGTTTTGAATAAGTATCTAATAGATCCCATTTAATGGCACTAGTGTGGTAGCAGGATATACTCTGCCCTCGAAATTCCTGCACCAGATCTCTAGTTGTATAGTTGTCATTCAGATTGATGTGTATATGTTTAACAAGGCTCAAAACGGGGTTGGAGGCATAGCACATCCAGGTACTCGGCTACCTATTTTTAACTTGTTGACAGCCTACAAATAACCCCAAGGCCTTTACTTTCAAGGATGCTCACAGTTAAATACATCTTTCCCGGTTACTTTTCACTCCCTTCCAGTATGTCCTGAAAAATCCTACCCCAACTCTTAAGGAAAATAGCCTCTGCGGCTGCCAGCCTTTCCTGAAAATCCTGGTTCCTTGCAACGGAGCCACAGCTTTAAGTGTCAAAGAATAGATAAATTGCAAAGCAACGGAGAAAACCTATGCTGTGTGCTGTAAATGGTGGCAAGAAAGAGGAGCAGTCTGCCCTATCTTGTGTTTTCCCTGGTTGCAAGCCAGCTACCATAACGGTATACGTTTAATGTAAGATTCTCAGTTAATAAATTGCTCAGGACATAAGGCTATAGCACTGCTGCTGCCAAACCAATAGAAAGCATTATGCACACTTGCTTTGGTAACACATGTACATTTATTTCTGAATTTTATGTCTTCCTATTCAAACTCAATGAGCCAAAAAGGACGTATTATTAAGCTCTCACAGCATGCAGTCCCTTGCTGGTTTTGAGCTGTTTAATTCTGTTCAAAGAGTGAAAGTGTTTCAGTATTATGGTTTTCAGAAATGTCTGGCTTTTGTTTTAGAGCCATGCCAGTGTGAGAACAGCCTTGCCTTTTGTATGAGTTCTTAGTGTTTCAGCGCACTCTTTGTCACCTTGAAAGATGAAAACTCATGTTTCTGTCTCTTTATTTCAATCCAATAAAGGACCTGAGTGCAGGTACGAGTGAAATTTTCATACAGTGCTTCTTAGTCCTTTTGGGTTTATTTTGGTTTTTAGATGCAGGTGTCTGGAATGGATGTTTTTCTTGTCTCCACTTATGTCATCCAACAGACTGTAAAATACAAAAATATTTGTCAGTTTGTTGCAAAAACATCTCTGCTAAATTACTGCCTTTCTAAACAGTTGGTTGTTTTCAGCCCCTTGAAAGTGGACTTAGAAAAACATAAGATGCAGACCGTTACATTATTCAGCTTCAAGTTCTGGTTCTAGAGGATACCTTTTTTTATTTTACTATTTCAGTTGCATAAAACTTGTCCCAAGTTCCTAAAGATACGTGAATATCATAAAGGATGAACTAACTGAAGCCAGATCTAAATGAAGTGGTTCTTGAAATGCTTGGGGTGTCTTGTATGCTATTTGGAACTTTTACCTATTTACCCAACCAGCAGGTGTTAAACACGATAATAGTGTAACTGGGCTATAATGGCTTTAAGCCTTGATGAGAAGACTCTGAGATTTGGAGACAAAGTGTATTTCGAAAGGGAATTTTCTTCAAGACTTTGCACTGCGTATAAGTGGTTGCCTGAGATCTGATCTTTCCAGTATAACGTGATTTGCTAATAACGAAGATGACAGTGAAACTAAAAGCTTGAACTTTCTTTGCTGCAGAGGGACTAATTAGTGATACCCCAATGTCAAAGTCAGTGGGGTGCGTGTCGTCTTTGTTTGCTTGTGGGTTTAGGAGGTTTTTGAGTGTTTCGTAGTAAAGGCCCTATTTGGCTACCAGACGCTGTGTTTTGTTACCTTGACGTCTTGTGTCTTCAGTCAATGTCCTCTAGCAAACTGTGTTAGGGCAATGAGCTGCTCCTCTCCTCTTCCAGCAGCAGTGGCTTGATGGAGTTATGTGCTTGATCCTGAGTCCCTTCAGTGTAAAATCCAATGTCTCAGCTCAAACAGCTGAGGAAGGTGGATTTGAAAGAAGGTGCCAAACTCTGTGAGTGCTGGCCATTGTGGCATGAGGGATATGCTCCATTCTCTGTTGACTCTGCTGTGACAGCAGTGACTTTCAGCAGGGGTGCAGGATGGTCAGCTAGTGGCAGCAATGCTTTAATGACCAAAACATTGGTTAGAGGACACATGAAAGACTCACCTGACACAGCATAGAGCAGCATTATCCAGACAGCCTCTTTCATCTCCTAGGTATTCTGTGAGGAATAAATAATTGTGGTTTGGGTTTATTGGTGAGATGTTTTAGGCTATCTTATGTCGACTTCTATTATGGGCTTTCTTGTGTATACCCTGTCCTTATACCTGTTGATCAAAAGCCTGAAAGCAGGTGTTAAGAAGAAACAAAGCAAGAAAATACTACTGTGTATAGTATTATTTTTTTTATTTAAAGTAACTCTCACCATGTGGTTCAGGAATTGATACAAAGGCATCCTGATTCTGGAGCTTTTTTGTCTGACCTCACTCCTTAACTACTGCTTAAAAATAAAATAGAAAGAGTTTGTAGCCTCCAGCACAGGTCTTAGCTGACCTTTGTGCCTAGGCTTAAAAATAACTTGGATGCCTCTCAGTCTTTGCCGAGAATAGGGCCAAACTGCAGGAGGTGGTTGTGCCTTTCCTTCAAAGCAGTGGGACTTGGGGCAGGAGAGATTTCCTTCCCGAGGCAGCCTGGCCCCCATGCCGCGAGGCAGCTGCGCCGCTCTGCAGCTCACTGTGCGGCCGACCCACAGCCAAGAGTTGCGGCAAAGCCTGTCAGGCAAGGCTGTTCATTTAGGAGGTGGCAGGAAGGTAAAAAGCAGGTATGAAAGCAGCCATTGGAGAATGTCCTCTGCCTTCAAGTCTCCAGCTGATATCCAGCTTGCTTGCTTTATGGTTGGAAGAGGATTTTTTTGAGGGGGTCAGGAATATGATTCCCCAGGGCAGCTGGCAAGACCGTGCCCTGAGTTAGCTGTTAATTCTGTGACAGATGGTGGGAGCTGATGTTGGCAGCACACTACATTTTAAGGACTGGCCAAGCTCAAACAGCGTGGGGAGAGAAGAGGTCTCCTGTGAGCAATGAACTTTTAATTTTTGCAAAGACATTAACAATGTTTTTTGAATTGGTCTTTTATTTCCACCCCCTTTTTCACCTACAGATGGAAGACTTTAATGAAATATGTAACTTAGACAATTATTTTGATTTAAATACCAGAATTTGTTGTGAATAGTCATTGCTCTCTGTAAAATGGCAAAAAAAAAATGATGTAGTGAGATGTTACTTCTTTGTTCAAACAACTTCAGTAACAAAATACTACTGCACCATGGGCCGTTAGTGGGCAACGGGCAACATCTCTGAGTGTTCAGACGAATTTCATCAGTGTTGGGCCTTGAGCCCCAAAGTCCCAACACAGCTGGTAGCAGTAGGGTTTATTTTGGCAGGTGGTAATAACCTTGGCCTCTGGTATGAGCCGATTCATTCCGGCAGGTTCTCCTTTCCTGCCTGCCAGAATATTGCCATTGGAGAATGGCAGTATTTCCTTAACACCTCCTATAGAGCAACAGATCATTACACCTTCACCCTTTCCATGGAGACATGTATTCTCAAATTAATTTTCATTTGGGTATGTAAAAATAGATGGCAAAACAGAACTCTTCATAAAATGTAGTGATCTTATAGTAAGTCATAAATCAAAATACCCATTTCTCAGCTAATGAATGCTTATACCTTTTTACAAGGTGTAAGTCCAACAATGGATTTTGAAAACTTTCTTCTTCTGAGGGGTCTTTTGTGGGTTTTATTTTCTAAATGACAGGCAGTAAATACCCAGACTTCTGTAAGTGCAATGAATGATACTCCCATTCTAACTAGTATCTTACCATTATCTTTCTAATGAAAATTCTTTTGGATAAGTAATAGAATTCCAATGTGTGCAATCCTAAAGTAAATAACTTTAGGATATTGCTTACAAATATGAATATACAGCACTTCCGGTGTTTACCAAGATACATGTTTTTCACTTAGCTTTGTTTTTTTGTTTCACAACAATTCTTTTTTCTGTCATCAGTGTACCAGGATGTTACATGTCATTCCCTTTCTGACACTTTGTTCTCTTTGTTCCTATAGGCAATTAGTCGTTACTTGCCCAGACGGGATCCAGTTTTGAAACCTCTGATCTACGAAATGGTCCTACATGAGTTTTTGGAGAGTGACTATGAGGTACTGCAGCCTGATGTGTCCACATGTAATAGCTGTTGCCAGCAAAACACCCTCAGTGAAGTGGAATTCTGATAGCAAATTCTCTGTTGTATAGAAACAGATTTTTGAACGGACAATTTAACAATAACAAAAAGATTAAAAAGATTAATTTTGGTTTAGATTTTAAAAGAATAAGTAGAATGCTCTTCAGAGCACCCAAATACTGTGAGATCGGTTACTTATTACAAATACTATTACTTTTAGTTTGGTTAATGTAGCACAAGTGGTTAGGTGCTGCACAAAGCATACAGCACCTGAAAGAGACCCAGCTTCATGAACCTTAATAACATTGCCCTAAGAAGGAAAATCTGTGTTCTGCACTGTGCACATCTGTGGGCACGCAAAAGTGGCTTAGAGGTGAAGCACAGCAGGTATCATCTCAGAGGCTTAGCTGAAGCTTTGATGTTCAAAAATGTTCCTTAGGCCCTTTTTTCGATTTCTTTTACTCTCTCTTATACTTTTAGGGGTTTGCAACCCTGGTAAAAGAGTGGCCTGGAGATCTCTACAACAACACAATCATAGTTCAAGCTGTAGTGGATCACCTGAAGAAAGACCCACAGAACAGGACTTTGCTACGAACACTTGCAGAATTGTGAGTACAATTTTAAACTCCTATTACAAAAAGTAAGCTTGAAATAGTGTACTACAGTTGAAAAATATTTGCTCAAGTCTCTTAACAGAAGTATCTGCTTTGCGGCAATCTGCAGAATATCTGCTTTCTGTGCTCTCCACTCTGCTGATTGCACAGCTTAGCAATTCTTTTCCCTTCCTTATAAAGTGTATGCTGAGTATGAAAGCAAAGAATTTAGTGTAGGATTGGATTTGCTACTTCTCTTTCCAAAGCAAATAGCTAGCATTTCTCTTTACACTGTCAGAGGAAGCCTCTTTTGTGAAGTGTACATTTCAGAATTACCTACAGGAAAATAAGAGTGTTTTTTCCCCACTATTTCAAAAGTAGTATATTTAGGTTTACTGCATGGCTGGGAAAATGTGACGGGAAAATGTGCCAAAACTGATCTGGTTCTAGGCTGCATCATACAGGGGTAAAGCTCTTTGGTTTTCTCAGCCTGATTCCCATGTGAAGTTCTTTTCATACTGCTGCTTTGAAGAAAGCAGAGATACTGTCTATTGCTATGTTACAGTCTGTCCCAGTTTTAAGAGAGCAATGTTTTTTACTGCTGAAGAGAGTTCCGGTTAGTTTGTGGCTTCCCCTGTGGTTTGAAAACGGGAAAATGAAAATGCAGAGAACCACAGGTCAGAACACAAATGGGGTGGCTGACTTTTAACAAAAGTGAATCACAGCAACTATTTAGGTATTCATCAAATCAAGTAGCATCCTAACAAACGTTACATCCTAGAGTACATTTATATTTTCCCTCCTAGGTAATTTTCCTACACTTGGATATGTAAGGTCACTGTATCATAACGTTTTTTTAATCAGGTATACTTATGACCAGCGCTATGGCAGAGCCCTAGAAATTTACCTAACTCTGAGGCATAAAGATGTCTTCCAGTTGATCCACAAGCACAATCTTTTCAGTTCTATCAGAGACAAAATTGTTCTGCTCATGGATTTTGATTCAGAGGTATGTTATCTTAATGATTTTATATTCACTTTCCACTAGAGATATTTTAACAGATTAAAAATAAATGAGCTAAACGTAGTTTTGAGGCAGAGTGTGGTTGCTGTGTCTGGATACATTCTGAGGTAAGGAAGAATATGTTTGCCTAGACTGCAAAGTAACTGACCCAAGGATGATTTTTTTTTTCTTTGTATTTCCATTTGAGTATCACTGAGTGAGAAGAGTGATGAATCCAAGATGATTGTTGATTCTCAAGTAGAGTTTCACCATGATATTCTTTCTGTATTTCTAATCAAATAATGCTATAACTAGCCAAAGAAAGGAGGCAGTGAATTTTTTTGAGGCATATGCTAAATGTACTTGCCACTTTCCTTTCATTGCAGTTAACTAATAGAATAGGATAGACTATTTCAGTTGGAAGGGACCTACAATGACCATCTAGTCCAGCTGCCTGACCAGTTCAGGGCTGACCATTTTAAAGCATGTTATTAAAGGGCATTGTCGAAATGCCTCTTAAACACTGACAGGCTTGGGGTATCAAACACCTCTCTAGTAACATCAATGTTTGACCAATCTTCCTTTAAATAAATGCTTCCTAATGTCCAGACTAAGCCTTCCCTGATGGATGCAGCTTTGAGGTGTTCCCATGTGTCCTATCACTGGATACCAGGGAGAAGAGCTTAGCACCTCTTTCTCTACTTTTTGTGCATTTTTTGCTAAATTTAGCTGGATAACCACCTCTTTTGACCGGCTGGTTATGCAGTGATTGATATCCCCAGGATGCGGGTTGCCCTCTTGTCTGTCAGGGCACACTGCTGACTCCTGTTGAGCCTCCTGTCAACCAGCACACCCAGATCCCTTTCTGAAAGGCTGCTCTCTATCCACTCCTCTCCCAACTTATACTTGTGCTCAGCGTTACTCTGTCCTAGGTGCAGAATCTGCCATTTTGACTTGTTAAATTTCATCCTGTTAATCATAGCCCAATGCTCAAATCTATCCAGATCCTTCTCCAAAGCCTCTTGTCCCTTGAGAGAGTCAACAGCACCTCCCAGTTTAGTATCATTGCCAAGCTTACTAACGGTGTATTCAACTCCTGCATCCACATCATCGATAAATTTATTGAACAGGACTGGCCCCAGAATTGAACCCTGATTAACACCACTGGTGACTGGTTGCCAGCCGCATGTGGCTCCATTCACTGCAACCCTTTGAGCCCTGCCATTCAGCCAGTTCTTCACCCAGTGCACCATGTACCTGCTCATCTCACAGCTGGACAGCTTGTCCAGAAGGATGCTGTAAGGGACAGTATCAAAAGCCTTACTAAAACCCAGAGGAAATACATCCACTGCCTTCTCTTCATCCACCACCATAAGGCAGGTGACCTTATGATAGAAGGATATCAAATTAATTAAACAGAACTTTCCCGTTGAACCGTGAACCCATGTTGGCAGTGCCTTATGATTGCATTATTCTTTAAATGACTTTCAGTAGTGTGCCGTATAATTTCTCCATAATTTTTCCAGGTACTGAGGTTAGACTAACAAGTCTAGTTTGTTCCTGGGTCTTCCCTCATGCCCTTCTCGTACATTGGAATGACGTTGGCTAGCTTCCAGTCAGCAGGGACCTCCCCAGACTCCCAAGACCTTTGGTAGATGATTAAAAGGCGTCCTGCCATAACATCTGCTAGCTCCTTCAAAGCTCTGGGATGAATCCCATCAAGCCCCACAGACTTGTGAACATTCAGCTTACACAGCTGGTCCCTGACAATTGGAGCATCCACAAATGTAAAGTCACTGTTTCCGCAGTTGTGGTCCGCCAGTTCAGGGGACTGGGCAGCCCAGGGTCTATCAGTATTATTAAAGACTGAGGGGAAAAAAACACATTGAATGCTTCTGCTTTTTGTTCATCCCTATTAGATAACCATCTTCAAGTATTGGTCCAGTGTTTTCTTTAGATGTCCTCTTGCTGTTAACATACTTTAACAAGAAGGGCTTTTTATCTGACACAACACTGGCCAGTTTCAGTTCTAACTGAGCTGGCCTTTTGTATCTTCTCACTGCATACGCGAACCACAGCTCTGTACTCTTCCTATGAAGCCTGACCTTGCTTCCAGGATCATACAGTTTCTTTTTCCTCTTGAGCTCCACAAAGAATTCCCTGTTCAGCCAAGCTGGTCTTCTGCCCCACTTGCTTGACTTGGGACACAGTGGCATTGCCTGCTCCTGTGCTTCTAAAAGGTGGTTCTTCAAAACTAACCAGTGCTTGTGGACTCCTAAGCCCTCAGAAGCAGATTCCCAGGACGCTCTGCTAAGTAGCTCCCTGAATAGCTTAAATTTTTGCTCTCCTGAAGTGTAGGGTAGCAACTCTGCTGTCCTTTTTTCTTACTACACTGAAAAATTTAAACTCAACCATTTCATGATCACTGTGGCCAAGGCAGCCACCTAGCATCACATCACCCATGAGTCCTTCTCTATTCACAAATAGCAAGTCTAGGAGGATGTCTTTTCTACTTGGCTCACTGAGTACCTGTGACAAGAAATTATCTCCTGCAAACTTCAGGAATTTCCAAGACCTGCTCATCACAGCAGTATGACATTCCCATTTCATGTCTGGGAAGTTGAAGTCTCCCATAAGGACAAGGGCTACCAATCCAGAAATTTCTCCTAATTGCCTATAGAATAACTCATCAGTGCTTATGTCCTGGCTAGATGATCAATAGTAGACACCCACTACAACATCTCCTTTGTCTTCCATTCCCCTAATCTTCACCCAGAGGCTCTCAACCACATCACTCCTAACCGTAAGGGCTGTACAATCAAACCTGTCCCGTATGTATAGTGCGACACTCCGCCTCGCCTGCCCTGCCTCGCCCTCCTGAACAGCCTGTAGCCCTCCCTCCCAGCACTCCAGTCGTGCTGATTCCACCAAGTCTTGCTAATACCAATGATGTCATAGCTCTGGGAGCTGACCAATGCTTCCAGTTCATCCTGTTTGTTTCTCATACTGCCTGCGTTGATGTACAAGCATTTCAGATACGCTCCTGAGCCCTCCGTGCTCCCAGGAGCAGTGTAAATGTTCCCACTAGCATTGCCACCCTCAGGTGATGCCATGTCAACCATTGGCTTACCACAATCCTGTTGGTATCCTCTTCCCCCACTGATTCTAGCTTAAAGCTCTCTTGATCAGTCCCACCAGCTTATGCGCAAAGACGCGTTTTCCCCATCAGGACAGGTGGCTCCCATCAGGCCTCAGCATACCTTGTCTCTCAAAGGCTCCTCAATGGTTTAAAAACCCAAATTTTTGACTTAGGAATTTTTTTTTCTTTTTCTTCTGAAAGTTTGCAAGGTTACTAGCTTAAATTCCAAAAATAAGTATATGTTTTGTGCTGAATTCGATCTTCTTTCTTCCCAGCTGGCTATAAAACCTCAACAAATAAGTTTTGGTATGATCCTTGGGGAGAAACGAAGTAGGTCTGCTCTTTCAGTGCAGTGGTTGTTTAAGCACTGGAGCTAAAATATGGAGCCCCCATTCTAAACTACATAAGGGAAAGAAAGAGTATAATTCTTTTTTATTAAATACAGTAAATCATATCAGGAATTTATGGTTTTGTATTTTTGAATGTGAAGCAAAGTTTGCTCTTCTAAGAGGAAGCAGAACCAGAATCCCAATGGCCACTCTGCTTACATGATCTTGTCTGCTTGTGTTACGGTATCAGTGTGCAGAGACTCTGGAGGAATCCAGTTGTAAGGCAAGTTGAGTCGTGTGTTCCCTATACAGACATCTCTCTGCAGTTTCCTTTTTGCAATGGGACAAATAGTATTTCTACATCATTTGACAGTGGTCTTCTGTGACCTATGATTCAATGGGCATACTTCAGCTGCAATATAAGTGCACAATACAGATTGCTATTAGTGTGGAAACATAGGAGAAGTATTCTGGAATACACGATGTGTTCTCCTGTAACGCTGTGCTGTTGGGGAATGCTGATGTTATGCAAACTGCCCTCTGAATTACTGTTGCTGAAAAGAGTAGGTCTGCAATATCCATCCAATACCCATCAGTGAACAAGCATAATACTATATAGAGTGTGAAAAAAATGTGTGTACCTGTTTCTTAACTAGGTTCTCTTTCTTTGCTTTAGAAAGCAGTAGACATGCTTTTGGATAATGAAGATAAAATTTCCGTGAGTATAACAAGTTCATGGCATGGCAGTACAGTGCTTGCTTGTATTACTTGTCCTTCTTTCAGTCCTGTAAATGTGATGTTCATCACAGGCTTGCTAATCTGTTGGGTTTTATTTGTTTTCTTTCAGATTGACAGAGTTGTTGAAGAACTAGAAAACAGGCCTGAGCTACAGCATGTGGTAAATATTTCTATATTCTGTCAGTTTCAAGTTGAGCTGAATAAACTCTTTGCTGGGCACATCTTTTACAGATGTCGTTACCCTGTCAAGGTGCACATGACACTAAAATGTCAGATCATCAGAGCCAAAGTAGCTACTTCTGCTAATCCATTTTTTAACATGGCCATGGCATTTTTACAATAGTAAAATAATTCTAAAATGTGAGAACTTGATAGTGTACTGCTGACTTGTTAACATACCCTGAGGTACTCCTTATGGCACTGCAGACACTTGTCTTCTCTGCTCAATTACTTCTTGCTTGTATCCCTCCTCTTGCCCTACACAAAAATGGGATTGGATGTTGGGTGCAACTCTGAAGCATGTTTTGCTGATCTGTGGAGACAGTGAACTGCTTGTCTTTCTACAGCTATAACTTCCATACACTGCAGGTTTGTTCTTGTTTGTGCAGAATTACAATGTCACTGTAAGGCTGTGGCCCCACATTGCTGTTCCAAAAGCACTTCCTCGGTTTGAATGTGCTGTCAGTGGAATATATAACATGTAACTGTTGGCTTGGGCTGTATTAGGGAGGGAAGTTTAACTTTCTGCAGGTAGAGCTCAGGGCGTCGAACTGGTAGAGAACGGATTTATGTGTTAAGAGATCTGATTATAGGAAGCAGCTCTATAAAGTGTGCAGCATGCAGCCCAAGAGCTTTGCAAAGGCTACTGTCAGTTTATGGAAGTGATGTATCAAAGTGTGAAGCTTACTTCTCTTTGAATAAAAGTGACCCTCATAATTATTTTCAAGGCTTTTCTATGCTCATCTAGGAAGGAGGGAGCTTTGCCACAGTATGTATGCTTCAGGGTGCTTTGGCTAAAACATTTTGTGCATTAAAAATTTGATCTATAGTTATCTGTAATGGTCAAGCATACCTAGATAACTGAAATGTTTCATTTGACATATTTCTCCAAAGGTTTCCATAAAATTCAAAATCAAGTAGTTTCCTTGAAGGTTAAAGGACAGTTACTTAAGTGTTGCTGTGAAAACCTGTTTTACAGAGCTAGAGCTCTTGGAGATTGCTGTGATGAAGGTACTTCAGAAAAATGTAGTTAGTCTTTTGTATCAGGTTTTAATCTCTGTGCCTTTTAGTACATGTTAGCACATTCCTGAGGAAGTTAGGAGATTTTTGTTAGTAGAGAATGAATATTGTATAAGTGATTTCGAGTTCTGATTTTCTTTTTTTGATTCCTAGTATTTGCACAAGCTTTTCAAAAGAGACCACCATAAAGGCCAACGATATCATGAGAAACAGATCATTCTTTATGCTGAATATGATCGTCCCAATTTACTACCGTTTCTCAGAGACAGCACGCACTGTCCACTAGAGAAGGTAAGCCCCCAGAATCTAAACACAGATCCTTGGTTTTTATGTCTGTAGCTCATAGTGTTGTGAATTTGTAACTGTGTCTGGTACTGCCCTCTACTGCCAAAAGGAGGAGATCCTTTGAGTTTGTGACCATCACCAGCAGAAGTTTGGTTTGCAGAGCTGGCTGACAGCTGAGACCTTCCTCTCCCAGCTCACAGGGCAGGAATTGGTGGGGATTTTTAATGCAGAAGTTCTGAATTCAGACTTGATGTCTATCTACAGCATATCTACGCATCAGTGCCTGGCCTGACTGAACATCAGGATGTGGTTGCAAGAAATCAACTACCATTTTGCCAAATCTAGGACTAGACAGTGTTAGATCTTGAAAAATGGGTAGCTGTAACTGGAGTTTTTCTAGCTTTGTTTACTAAGGTCCTAAGTTGCTTTCAACTAATCTACACAACATTAACAGTCGCTGAACTAGCAGAGCTGAAAGTATTTTGTCTTTGCACTTCAGCTAGTAGACTTGCGGTTTTACAGAGTACCTCGTTTCCTCCTTCTTTAACCTTTTTACATTTTCCTTCATTGCTCTTTCTTATCAAATTAATAAATACAATTAAGGGCAGTCTTTTCTTTCTTTTCCCCTGCTTGAATTGAACTAAATTGAATAGAAATTTAAGCTTTCCTCTTTAGTTGGATCAGTATTTTATCTTTTGTAGTTGTTGCTGTTAACGGCTGAGCAGAGCAGACTTTGTGAAAGGATGCCTCTCTGTATGTAGATATGATGATGACACCATTGGAGTAGTTTTAAATGTAATATTGAATACCACATTTTACGTGGTTGATACTCTAAAGAGAACTGGTACTCTTCCTGGCACCTCTCTTGTTTTGCATGCTTTTGTCAACTTTGCTGTGCGACGCAGTAGGAAACACTGGAAAACACTTTCTTAGGATTGCAGGCTTGGTCTTTGTTGAAACTGTCACACAAAACTAGGCTGTCTCGGTGATCTTTTCAGGCAATGAGCCTGAGAGGTTTCCAGCCAGAGTCTTGTCTACAATATTAGCTTATTTGTTTTTAACTCTCTGATTCTTTTTGCCTTATGTATTATTTGCATGATCATGGTTTTATGTATAAAACCTTACCTGCACTTTTTTTCTTTTGGTGAAAATTAGTTTTAGTTATTGCAGATCCAGCCACCTATCTTCAGTGATGGGTGGGACAGAAAAGTGCTTGTGTGTAAGTGATGTAAGCACATTGCTGGCACTGCTTTGCTGAATTTATGGCCTGGAGCAAGAATATGCCAGACCCATGAACCTTCAGAAGGTGGGGTGCAGTAATCACCAAAGTCAGAGAAAAGAATGTAATAAAAAGTGTCATTCTAATCTTACGTTAAAATGTTAACGTGTTTCAGTAAGATGCTAAGGAAGAGAGGAAAGACAACAACGCTGTATAAAATTTTGTTGAATTTACTGTCACTGCTGATTCTGTAATTATACTTCTTACCATACATATCATAAGTAACACGTTTGCCACGTATGAATCTTTGTTCCAAGGAAATAAAAAGGGGAGCAAGAATTTCCCAGTTAACAATATTTTCAGTTCTTGTAAAGCAGATTACAGCGCAGTGTATAAATAGCAAAAAGCCATGATATTTGAACAAATTCAAACTTATTATTGCTTTAAAGAAATTATAAACCCAGCAGGAAGAAATAATTCTTGTTCTTTAAAAGTTAGCCACTTTTATTCAAGTGCAGTTTAGGAAATCTTTTATAAAAGGAGCTGAAAGAGAAGAATGCATGTCGCCTGTTTTCCTCTAGAGGGAGCGTGACAGTCAATAAACGTGCAGCATTGGGATATACATGCATAGCTGGTACTTTGTAGTTTTAACTTTTAAGTGGAGAGAAAAAAGGCTGTCAAGTGTGTTTATAACTTATTAATATTATTCATGCCTTGATTCCCCTGAAGTATGTGCTTGGTAATTGACTTTACCCCTATCCCAAAATTCATTGCCCATGTCTCAAGTCTTCGTGGTAACCCATCTGAAATAAATTGAGAGTGAAAGGAAAAGTTAATTCCTGTCTACACCTTTAGCTGTGGAAGTATCTTATGCATTTATAGTTTTGATTTCCAAGTATGAAAGTCTTTATTGGTGAACAGTTGTCTTCACAGGAATGCTATGCATCTTGAGTTTGCTTTGTGCTTCCAGATTGGAAACAGTCCTGGCATTGTTTATGGCGTACCAACCCTGCCAGTTTTCTCTTACTAAAACCTTGTTGGTAATCAGTTTGGTAATTTTGGTAATTGTGGTCAGTGTTTGTCAACTACATGCCGATTCAGTAACTGCTCGTGGTATTTAGCCCTCAGGTCTTTAAACCAAATTTACAAGAAATGCTTCCTCCTTATTCTTTCATGCTTGGGGTGGATTGGTTTGTACTGTCATCTTGGAGGTCACTGGTACAAAAATTGGAGGCACCCTCTACCTCCCAAAACCATTCTGATTACCCTGAGGGGGTTTACAGTCTTGAGTTATGAATGCATGTCAAGCAGGCCTCCATCACGAGAGACCTCGTAAGTCCACCCACAGGAAGCAAGTCTTGACAGCAGATATCCTGAGTGCTTTTGGATTAACCAACTTTTGGAAGCAGAAGAAAGAAGTTGCCAGTAGATTTAAAGGTAGAGATTGGCATAATCCAGATTCAAATACCTGTCGTGTCCCGAGATTTATTTAAACCTGTAGAAAAATTAAAAACATGCCATGGAGGGAGTTTTTCCTCTTAATTAATGGCAGAGGACCTGACAGTGCATATTAAGGGAGCTGTATTCCTGTCAAAATGAGTAATGCAACTTCATGGAAAAGTATCTTTAAGCCTCTTGCAGCATTTGTAATCAATAAAATATGTTACATGGTTCCCTGTATTCTCTT